TATCGAATACACTCTGGAGGAGATCAATTGATTGGCATTTTATTCCCTCAAGGCTTGAAACCACCGAGCTTGTATACTACCTTCCGTTTTCGTATCTCGCGAGTTGCTGTTGTCGTTTGTGGGCAAAATTTGCGTACTCGTTGTCGTTGCTGATGTCGTCAGAGTCGCAGTACTCTTCTTAGTGCATAATGCTGCGGGATGATTGCCTTTGCAGTAAGAGCACGGTTTAAGTCGAGATTTGCAGGTCTAAGTGAAGTGGCCTGGTCTCAAGCAGTGAAGACAAAGTCGCTTCTGAGTAACACGTGTGTGCCGCTCATCGGTAGACTTATATACCGGACACTGATCGCTGTAGTGACGACCCTCACAAAATGCACAGTAATTAGTCGGGACTTTTTTGAGAGAAGGTTTTGTCGTCTTTTGGTGTGGCGGTTTAGCGGTTGTCGCTACCGAATTGCTTGTTCCGCAAAAATCCTTATTTATAGTGATCGAGGTAGTCATGGCTCGTGCTTGGAGTCTGTCCGCAACGGTTTCCTTGATGAGTTGGCGAAGGTGAGAGACCGACCACTGCAGGTTTTGTCGCTTTGCTCTGCACACTTGTCGTAAGGTCTCAAAGGGCAGCTTTGCCTTGATTGCTGCTACAATATTGGCGTGATTTATATCGTCCCCCAGAGCTGTTAGTTGGCAAAGAACTGATTCCAACGTGCACCATAATTGCGGCAAGTCGTTTTCGTGAGGAATCGGGGGGATAGCTTGAAGGTCGCGGTGCAGGAGGGCTCGGATAACATGTTCGTGCTCGTATGTATCTTTCAGTAATTTGATGGCTGCCTTGTAATTCTCAAGTCGTTTAGCCAAGTTGGGAACCAGAATGCTGGGGGCACCTGATAAGGTCTCACACAAGTAGCATAGCTTTTTGGTATCGGGCATCGTAGTGTTGTGAATTAGTTCTTGGAAGGTACTCCGATAGGCTGGCCAGTCTTTTAAGTTGCCTGAAAATTGCGGCAGTTTTAATGGAGGTAAGTCGGGATTCTGCAACCTCGGATATGGAAACTGCCTAAAGATGGAAGTCGGCTGTTGTTTATCTGTCTCGTTGACTGCCAGCTGTGCTTGTGAAGTTATTGCGGGGGAGGTTGCTTGAGTTCGAGCAGAAGATTGGTCGTTGAGCTGGTGCGCCCGCTGGTGTAGTTGCTCGCGGAAAAATCGTACACGCACCAATTGTTCGCTGGCGGCGTCGTTGTTGGTAAGATTTTTGGGTTTCTGTGACAATGCGTGGTATAAGGTCTGCTCTTCATCTTTTTCCGCTCCAGAGAGACCCGCAATAATGTCCTGCCAATTAGTATTTGCTTTAATAAGTTGGCTCAGAACAGTAGAAATTTGTGTTTCAAGTTCATTGATTTCATTTATGAGCTGAGCAACTGTTTCGGGTTGTTGACTGCTTTGCAGCGTGGCCCAATCTGGCATGGTTGTGCTTCGTGCCTGAGCAACATAACGGCGAATCCTGCCTTGAGCAGGCCGAATCGAACAGCGCAAAGAAATACTCATTCTTGATAATGTCCTCGTGGCACCATATACGGAAATTACATAGCCGTAACAACAGCACGAGACAAATGGGTATCACAATCGCACACTATCGAATACACGCTGGCGGAGATCAATTGATTGGCTTTTTATTCCTTTAAAGCTTGAAATTACCCAGCTTATATACTACCTTCCGCTTTTGTATCTCCCGTCTAAATCGCCTCTTAGTGTAAAATGTCTGGTCGTAGTCCACCTGACAACGGAAGTTACGTGCCGATTGCTGTTTAGTAAATGCCTCCGCCGAGTCTTGATCGGCGTCGTTTGGTCGGCGACACTATCTGTCGACGTTATAAAAATTTGGATTCTATTATTTTAGGAGGGCTTTTTGTTTCAGGTTTTTTCACTGCTACCTCAGCATTATACAGTAACTGTTTCTGATCATTGTCTTTCCTTTTTTTTTTTTTTTTAAAAACATTAATTTTCTACAGTTTAGGGAAATGAATTTGCACACATTCAAATGCTTCCGTACCAACAACAGTATTACTATAACAACTCAAGACCAAATTTCCGCTTGACTGATGGCCCAACAACTCGTCATGGCCGCCTCCAGGTGTTGTTTCGAGACCGTTGGAGATCCGTTTGTACTCAGTTAACTAAGTTAGTATTTTTATCCTCAGTAAAATAAAACCATAAGCGATTTTACTTTAACCATCATCGGACCACTTGAAAACATGCTGACTATTCTTTGTTTAGCTGGACTTCAACAGATGTGACAACTGCATGCAGAACAATGGGCTTCTCGGGCGGAGGTATCTTTGGTCGTCATTTTTTTTGTTATCGAAAGTGAACATTCTGAGTTGCGCGACTGTGACATGATTTACAGGATTCTGGAAGTGGTTTCGCCGTAACAATGACACCTATCCTTTTGTGATGCCTCGCCCGTCATGCTTACCAAGTGCTGAATCGCTCTGGGAATGTTCCGGATTTGGTAATTTTGATGCTATCCCTCTGAGTGAAAATCTGTGCCAAGGTGAAGATGATATTGGCATTCATTGCTGGGGTCCACCAACTTTTACAGGATGGGCAAAACACTGGAAAGGTTGGTTGTTTTTAAAAGGCTAAATTTTAAAGCTGAACGTAGAAGTAGAGTAATTTGAAGCATTCTTGAGAACTCAAAAATTTGCTGCAAAAAATCGTTGAAGTTTCGTTTTTCTTTTTTTTGGTTTTGATTGTTTAATTATTTTTCAATTTTGAGGGTTGCATATTCTAAGCTCACCTTACAAGTTCGTTCCGTCTGATCCTGACGATGTCTCTCATCACAAAGAATCTTTGAGTAGACTTGAATTTGTTGATATATTTTATGCTGGATATGACGGGTAACAGGCCTTTCAAAATATATTTTTCCTTTTTCTAACTAAATAAAGCAAAAAATCTGTCAATTTCCCAAACAGTTTTCTGCTTCAGAGATTCAGTAAAGTTGTAAAAAAAAAGCTTGTCAAAGCTCTCTGCAGTTTTTTTTTGCTATTTAGCTATATTCTTTAAAAAAGAAACCAGAATTTACAGATTTTACAAGATAACTAAAAATATCCACTGAAACTTTTTCAAAAATTTTTTTCTCATTTCTATAAGTAAAAATTTTCAAATTTTTGAATATTTTTTGGAAGCAGTAGTATTTTAACTGGAAAAGGAATCATTGAAATTTATTCAAACAAACACTGGTAGCTTTAAAGAAAGGTTTTTTCTGTTAATGTCGACCAAATTTCTAATAAAATAATCTTTAGATATTGGTTCTGAAAAAAAAACAGCTTCATTTGTCAAGCTTTTCAGTAAGTAGTATCCTTTTTAGAGCAGCAAAAAACACCACAGCAGCTCTTTACGTTGAAAATGTACCGCCAATTATTAATGGCTTGAAAGTCTATCGTAGTGCTGGAGATGGAGTTCAGTTTTATGAACCCACTGGCCCAATTCTTATTGCAAATAGTACAATTCTGCAAAACAGGTCTTGTGCTGCCTTTTTTACTTTTTTATTTTGCTGAATGCGATAAGCAGAAACTTACTAGCTTTCACTAATTAAACTTACAACAAATTGATTGCTTTTTTGAGAAATTATTGAGATTACAAGAATAGCAAAAATTGTTTGATGTTGTAGGGGAAGAGGTATCAATATCCAGAATACAACAGATGGCCGAGTTTATATAAACATGACAGTTATAGATGGTAACTACGGCGACGGCATTTATTATACTCAAATGGGCCCATTAACAAATCTCGCTTCTTCTTCAACACGAGGTTTGTTCATTCGATTTCTCGCGCTTAATTCAGGAATTTTGCATCAAAAAGTTTCATTATCTTTTTTGTCAAAAATTTCCAATGTTTCCACAGTCTTCAGGATCTCCGATATCGTATTATGGCTTAGAAATACCGCGATTGGACATGTGTAAGAATCATGAGCTAAACAAACAACTGTACTTCCCACATTTAATACACGCCTACATGCCTAACGGAACAAATTACGACCCTAATATTCCTTCACCTTGTTGGATGGTTATGCATTATAGTTTTCTACTAGTAGCTAGGCACTTTTTTTTGCCTTAGACGTCTCATCTTAAATGAATAAAAAGAAGTCTCAAACTACAAAAAACAACTTTTTGCTCAATTACTGAAAGAAGAAATGTCGAACTTCTTTTGTCTTTATTATTTCTAATGCTCATAGCCGCAACGATTTTTAATTGATTTTATCATTTTTATCTCACAGTTTAAACTATGGGTTATTTTCGATAATTTTGTGAAATAATTATGGGTGGGAAAAATGTTGAAATTGCAACAGGGAGTGCATTTGATAACAATTTTGATAAAGTCACTCACGAGTAACAACTATAGCTATCTTGTTATCCTCTTTTTTTTCTAAATTTTATTTGAAGGCTTTGAAAAAAATTTTTTTTTATTATATTGCTTCTTTCACTTTTGATTTCAGTTCAAAAACCAAAAGAAAGTTCATCAATTCTTCAGCTGCTTATTTTGAACCATAGTTTTCACACATTTGGTGACTTTGGGAGGTGATAATATTCCCGTCATTACAGGTTATTCCATTGCCGTCAGGATACAACTATGTTTATACACTACAGTTTTTGGGTGTCGCTAATATGAATCCTTCAAAACTGGGATCTAAAACAGAACTAGTTATCTGCGACTCCAGATACAACCATACGAACTGTGTTGGCACAAATGATGTGCGAATTCCAGTTGTAGAAGATTTAATACCTCAGAGCGTCTCCATCAAGTAAGCTAGCAGCAGAATGTTTGTAAAATACTGTATTTCCATTCCTAGAAGCCGATAAAAACTGCAAGTGTATATGAAACAGTAAATTATATTTTTATAAGTTTAGAAGTTTTGGCCGACCACTCTATATATCGCTACAACATACTTCGGCGACTGCAACAAATCGTGTTGAAGCAGATATCAACGTTCTGTTCCGTATTCATGCATCTGTTCATGGTGCGCTTTATTTCCAGACAGTTTTTTGACATGGATGACGGCTTAATTTTATTCTGCTAGCTGTTTTTAGATAAAGCCTACTATGGTTTGAATGTTTCAAACTCAGTCATAACAAATAATAGTGGCAATGGAATTTACGCCGGAAATGTTAAGGATCGAGTTGTTTTGACAAATGTTAATATAACAAATAACGAAGGTTTTGGAGGGTTTCTTGTTAGAGATGGAGCTGCCGATATATGGATTAATGCATCAAATATAAAAAGTAACTGGGGTGATGGTATAAATGTGTCTTTTGCGGGAGGTGCGGTTATGATCAATGGTACATCAGTAACCGATAATTGTTGGCGAGGTTTGTTAGTTTCCTTACACCACTGAAGCAACGTATAGTTGCTAAAGTGCTAAAGTTTAAAAACATTTCTTTTTTTTTAATGAGATAATTTAGGTTGTGCATTTCATCAGAATACTTCTTCTCGCTACCTTGCTATGAACCAGGAAATCGTCTTCAAAGGACGGCCGGCAAGTAACGTTTATTATCTTCAAACATTAGTTGCCCGAAACGGTTGGGGCGGGATTCTCGTCGGCAATTTCTGCATTCCCGAATACCGAAGAATTCATCCAAAGGTAATCTGCATTCCCGAATACCGAAGAATTTATCCAAAGCTAAAAAGTTCCTATCTCGTCAATGAAAACACAGTCTTTCCAAATGCGGACCGATTAATTAAAGACTATTCAAGTAGGGAGAAATTGATTCATATTATCTTGAAATACATTTGGTAGCACAGACTCGAAGCAAAAGTGATTTTTTGTAAGCACCATATTATGTGAGCGCTTCATTTTAGGTTGTCGTAAGTTGGATTGAATTGCTAGCTAACAATTATCATCCATCCTTGGAAATACATTCGTGCCAAAGCGATGGGATGGCAATAACTAACATTGATATTTCCGGAAACCGAATAGAGAATGGAAACGGAATTGGATTTCGGATGGAACCGACTGTTAACGCTGTTGCTCAGATAAATAGCAATCATTTTGTTAATAACTCACACATTGCATTACTTGTTCGGAATGCTGCTCACCCTCAATTGGCTCATCTTCCAGCTAAGGTGGTTCAATGCATAACATTCCCTCAAGCCAACAAGCGTTGCCGTCTTCCTTAAAATGTTGCCAAAGTGCTTATAAACTGTGAGAAAAAAGTTAAAAATAGTTATATGTATATGTAATTGAATAATTCTGTCACTTTAGGTCACAATTTCAAGAAATTATTTTAAATTTAACTCTGGACAAAGCATAGTCTCAATTGGTTTGAACGAGGATGCCCCAAACCAGAAAATGTTGTTTCATCAACAAAACGAAATTCGCAGCAACGCTGTAATTAATCCGTATCCTTACTTGAAACCTCGGTCGACACCTTTCGCTGCACTAGTTGTGTCTAGCAGGTAGACAATAACTTCAACTGCTACTATATCCGCCACGCATAGCATATAGTTCACACTCGTTCTTTACCTCTTACAGCTTATCTTTAACCATCTTTGAATGCATTAAAAATGACATAATGTAAAGATTTTCCTGGATGAAACTATTTAGCAATGTCGAGATCAACCGCAACTGCTTTGAAAATCCAGATTCTGAATATGAAATAGCGACGGAGTTAATGGAACATGCCAAAACTATTAATGCTACAGAAAACAGTTGGGGTTCGCAGTTTCAAAGAGACTTTATGCATAAAGTCTTTGATCAGTTCAATAGATATTCGCTTGCTCGAATTGAGGTTAGCCAACATTTGCAAACGAAATAATTCTATGAAATCTTATCAGTATTAATTCATCAATTTTTCATTTTTGGGTTGTTTGTATCGGTTCTTTCAGGTATTTCCGTATGCTCAAGTTTGTAATGAACTTGATCCCTATATTGTTACAAGTCATGCGTATCGACGTCAGTTCAGAAACTCGTCTCGTTCTTTTTTCTTAGGAGGTACGATTTGGGAAAATAAAGATCTTCCTAGAGGACGATATAGGGTCAACGAAGACTTGAATGTTGTTCCTGGTGCAAAACTCACTATTGAACCCGGAACCATATTTGAATTTGCAGATGGTGTTGGCATGTTAGTACAGGTTAGGCTTTTTTTTCAACGTTGCTTAAGTTATAAACTGTCGGTATAGTTTCTTCTAGTTTGTTTCATCTGATTGAATCGCTTGGCTGAGCTTAGAAAATTTTTGCTGCTTTTTTAAAGGGAGATTTCAGATAATGGATTTTCAGGGCGACTTGATTCGATCGGATTATCATGGCAGCAAAACTCCAGTAATATTTACCAGTCAGCCATTTAGTTTACCGAGTCTCGAACAAGTGCGTTTAGTGGATGAAACCGACAACCAAGAAGTAAGTAGCTTTAGTGAAAAACTATAACTACTGATTTCCTGAATAAATTTTACATCTTTCTGTCAAAATTTATTACTGAAATTCTATTTTTGAAAATAGGTATTGGCTGGCCGTCTAGAAGTTTTTATCGATGGACAGTGGGGAACTGTATGTAACAGAAGCTGGACAGCAGAACTGGCGTTGAGAACGTGTAACCAGCTTGGTCTTGTGATGGATCCTGAGCACTTCGAGAACTGGAGAATTTTTCCATCTCAAGGGAGTCTTCCAATGATTATGGATAATGTACGTTGTGAAGAACGCGAATATGATATAACTAAATGCCGGCATGACGGGGTAAACCATAATGTTGCTGCATCTTGTAGAAGTACAGAAGTAGTTGGTTAGTTTTGCCTTACCTTAATTCTGCATGTTTGTTGTCTAGGATAATTTCATTGTTTCTGTCTTTTTTCAGTTTGCTATTACTGTATTCAAAATCGCTACACAATTGCATTTAATTGAATTTTCGTTTCAACATTTACAGGTATCAAATGCGCTGAACCACTATGGGCTGGTGTTAGATATTCACTTCTCGCAAATCCACCAGCTGTAACCGGACAAACGGTCATGGACAACTGGATTATCGAAAAAGCTGGAGTTTTAGACTTCCGAACAGCGCAGTTTAGCGCAGCTTTACTGATTGATTGGAACTATCATACGTTTTATAACTTGACTGT